ATATATATATATATATATATATATATATATATATATATATATATATATATATATATATATATGTTCAGGTTAGACTGCTGGCGGTGCTGGGCGGATCTGAGAGAAACACGGGAAGAGCTGCCGGCGGGTGCGCCGATAGCTGAGGAGGAAGAGAGCGACGCAGACGATGAACATGCTGGTGATTAAAAAAAAAATAAAAATAAACAAATAAACTCAATTAAAAACAGAATATATACATGCAGAAATACTAGTACAACGCAGTGCAACATATGTGGTAACCGGAGCTGCCTGTACACCTGAAATATCTATAGCAGTAGATATGAGATGCGTGTACACTTGAGCTGCCTGTACACCTGAGTTGTCTGTAGAGCCCATCTGTGTATACACCTGAGCTGCGTGTACACATGAGCTGTCTATACACCTGAGCTGTCTGTACACCCCAGGACTAGATGAAGATTATTTACGGGAGCACGAGGAGGCGACGCGGCTAAAGAGAGTTGAGCGGATTTCTATTGGATCTCATTTGGTGGACTGTTGGTACTTCTCTCCTTACCCAGCAGAAGTACAGGACGTCCCCGTTCTATTCATATGCGAATTCTGCCTCTCCTTCTTCGTGTCAGTGCCTACACTTATGCTTTTGTTGCTGCTGCTGCTGCTGCTGCTTCTGCTGCTGATGCTGCTGTTGGAGTTGTTCTCGTTGCTGTTGCTGCTGCTGCTGCTGCTGTTTGGGTTATGCAGACTGCTGCTGGTGCTGCTGTTGCGGCGTGAAAGCGGCAGGTGGTGCGGTATTTGTTGTTGTTTCTGACGCGTTTGTCTTCAATTTGCTGCTGCTGCTGCTGTTGCTGCTGCTGCTGCTGCTGCTGCTTTGTTTGGTGTGTACAGACACGAGAGCGAACTGCAGCGGCATGCGTTGTTTTGTGAGTGCCGCCATCCCCCAGGAAATGAAATTTACCGGTGGGTTTTGCCTGCAGCAGCAGCAGCAGCAGCAGCAGCAGCAGCTCGAGCGCCTAGGTTTAGGATTAGGTGTAGGGTTTAGGGTTTGCGGTTCAGTGATGAATGTGTCTAGGGTTTAGGGTCTAGGGTTTAGGGTTTAGGGTTTAGGGTTTAGGGTTTGTGTTTCAGGGATGATAGGGTTTCAATGTTTGAAGTGGACGGAACCTACTTTCGGGTTTACTGCGAAAATTTGTGTTTTCTATCGAAACTCTTCCTCGATCACAAAACCCTAAGGTCCGTATGATTAGGGTTTAGGGTTTAGGGTTTAGGGTTTGGGGTTTAGGGTTTAGGGTTTGGGTGGCGTTTCTATGTCACTTCTTTGTCATGTAGCTATGGATGGAGGGTTTAGAATTTAGGGTTTAGGGTTTATCACAGCATCTGTCTTCGCTTGCTTTCCTGTTTTAATTTTTGCTGTCCTTGCTGCTGCCGCTGCTGCTGCTGCTGCTGCTGCTGCTGCTGCTGCTGCTTGTGTTGCTGCTGCTGCTGTGTACAGACACCCTGTGAATTTGTTTGTGTTTTATGTTATGACGGAGTACGACAGCAAAGGCCACCACATAACGGGGTACTTTAGCAAGGAGAAGCATTCAAAGAACAACCTTTCTTGTCTACTCACTCTCCCGCAGGTCTGCTGCTGCTGCTGCTGCTTGTGCTGCTGCTGCTGCTGCTGCTGCTGCTGGTGCTTTTGCTGCTGGTACTAATGCTTCTCGTCCTGCTGATACTGGTGGTAGTTCTGCTGTGCTGCTGCTGACGGTACTGCTGCTGTTCGTGCTGCTGCTGCTGCATCAACTGCAGCAGCACCACCACCACCAGCAGCACAATCACCATCAGGATCCGTAGTGTGCAATAGGTTACAAGGATGTATACATATGTATATCTACGCATG